TTAAAATCCTCCTTCTCACATATAAAGCCTTAAATGGCCAAGCTCCACACTGCCAAAAAAATTAAATCTAAATAAGCATTATTTTCTTAAAATAAATGATTTTTTTTTTTTCTTGAATTGAGGAGGAAAGTGAGAAACTTTGCCAGAGGAAAAAGACAATTTACATTTGAAATAACAAAAAAAAAACAATTGCATTGTCTTATCTAAGTGCATATTGTCTAATTATCTTATTTTAAGAGTATAAATACTCATTCTTTTGGCAAACCATACCCTTAAAAGAAGTCTCTACAGTTATGCTGCTATAGGCTTAGACTGCAGGAGGACATAGAGACCCCTTTTTATAATTTTGTTTTATTAACTTTTATTCTACAGTTCTATTATCTTTTCTTTTTCTTATAACAACTTCATATGGCCTGGTTTTGTTTGGCCATGACAACTTCAATTACAGATGATAGAGTTGGGCCTGCTTTTCAGTGCTTAGTCCTGTTTCTCTCTTAGACATAGCTCAATTTTAACTGTGACTAACTGTAGGTGTTTTAAATAATAATAAAAATAATACACTCTGATCTGAAAAGATAAATCAAACAGGTTTATAAACACAGATGAAAAAAAAAGATGCTTACTGGCTTTGATGCTGAAAACCTTGACTTCAGTTCCCATGTCGTTGGACGCGTTACAGACAGCGCTGACGTCCGAGCTGACCTTGACGGACACTGTGCTGTGAGTCATGTGGTCGTTTGATTTGCTCATCACTTCGTCCCAGTGCTACAAAGAGACAGAGGTTTTCATTTGTGCAGGGCATCAACTCGAAAGTTAACAAAGTTTAAAAAGACTTTCTTTTCTTAAACTATTTCCAGAGTATCTTTCATTTTAATCCTTTAATGCTAATATGCTGCTTCATATAAAAAAAACAACAACCATGTTTGTCTTTATTCAGTGCTTTCTTTCTTAAAAGAATTATTTTAAATCGTGAAATAAGAAAACACCAGGATATAGCTTTTCTTTAGGAATAATTAAAATAAAAAGGTTCAGAATTCAAAATACAATAAAAAAGATGTATGTAAAAACGTGGGACATGCAGCAGGAACCTAATCATATAAATGAGAATTAAAATCAACCCAAACTGTTGGAATCTGGAATTCATGTCCAATCAGAGACGTCCTGCAGGACTGGACTGATCTTTAATGGTTTTATCAGAGGTACGGTTGCCTCTAAGCTGATTTAACAAAGGATCAGAAGTGAGCCAAACCTCTATGGAGGATAAAAAGTGCCAAAATTAAATAAATAAATACAGCATTACATAAATAATTAAATGTGTCAATAATTAATTAAA